CGACATTATCTCACTAAGCAGGAAGCTGACTCAAACTGCTGACAATTATACTCACTACTACAGCAGGAAGCTGACTCAAACTGCTGACAATTATACTCACTACTACAGCAGGAAGCTGACTCAAACTGCTGACAATTATACTCACTTCTACAGCAGGAAGCTGACTCAAACTGCTGACAATTATACTCACTACTACAGCAGGAAGGTTAAGAAGAACATCTCAGTCCTGTTCTTACCTGCACTCAGGATGTGCTGCCCCTCAACGTTGTATAGAGACAAAATAAATCCTCAGAAGATCAATTCTCAATATTAAGATACCATGACTTGTTTATTAAACAAGGAGAAAACAAAGCAAGCATCAACTATTACGAAAACTTAGCTCATAAAACCCAACATCATCCAGCACATCTCAACTCATGGTACCCTACTACCAAGGTACATTCAATCCTCTCAACAAAGTGATCAACATCATCCAGCACATCTCAACTCATGGTACCCTACTACCAAGGTACATTCAATCCTCTCAACAAAGTGATCACCATCATCCAGCACATCTCAACTCATGGTACCCTACTACCAAGGTACATTCAATCCTCTCAACAAAGTGATCAATATCATCCAGCACATCTCAACTCATGGTACCCTACTACCAAGGTACATTTAATCCTCTCAACAAAGTGATTAACACAATCACTTTCTATCACAACAAAGTAGGAATCTCTTTAAAAAGAACCACAAACGTTCTGTAATACAAGACATACCACGAGTTTACCAGATACCATGTATAGCATGTAACCAAGTATACATAGGACAGACAGGACAATTACTATCTACCACATACCATGTATAGCCTGTAACCAAGTATACATAGGGCAGAAAGAACTAACACTATCTGCTAGATACCATGTATAGATTGTAACCAAACATACATAGGACAGACAGGACGATTACTATCTACCACATGCTATGTATAGCCTGAAACCAAGTATACATAGGTCAGACAGGACGAACACTATCTACCAAATACCATATATAGACTGTAACCAAGCATACATAGGGCAGAAAGAAGTAACACTATCTACAAGATACTAAGTATATGCTGCAACTAAGTATACATAGGGCAGACAGGACGACTACTATGTACCAGGTACCATGTATACACTGCAACCAAGTATACATAGGGCAGACAGGACGACTACTATGTACCAGGTACCATGTACAGACTGTAACCAAACGTACATAGGGCAGATGGAACGACTACTATCTACCAGGTACCATGTATAGACTGCAACCAAACATACATAGGGCAGACAGGACGACTACTATCTACCAGGTACCATGTATAGACTGTAACCAAACATACATAGGGCAGACAGGACGACTACTATCTACCAGATACCATGTATAGACTGTAACCAAACATACATAGGGCAGAGAGGACGACTACTATCTACCAGGTACCATGTATAAACAGTAACCAAACATGCATAGGGCAGACAGGACGACTACTATCTACCAGGTACCATGTACAGACAGTAACCAAACATACACAGGGCAGACAGGACGACTACTATCTACCAGGTACCATGTATAGACTGTAACCAAACATACATAGGACAGACAGGACGACTACTATCTACCAGGTACCATGTATAGACTGTAACCAAACATACATAGGGCAGACAGGACGACTACTATCTACCAGGTACCATGTATAGACTGTAACCAAACATACATAGGACAGACAGGACGAATACTATCTACCAGGTACCATGTACAGACAGTAACCAAACATACATAGGACAGACAGTGCTAACACTATCTTCAAGGATCATTGAACACAAGAGGGCAATATGTTATGCACAGGATAATTCAGACATTTTTCAACAAGTCATTATCAACAATCACAATATTCACTGGGAAGCTGCCACCATCATAGCTACCAATACCAACTTCAACATCTCACAAGGACAGTGGAAACCAGACGTTATTTCAAAAGTTTCTCTCAAAAAGTACATACCAGCGACCAACCTCACACAGAACACCAACACAACATCAGGGATTACACAACACAAAGGAACTTCCTACCTAAATCTTTACCTGTACTTCAGTACCTGTCTTCTCACTCAGCCACTGCTGGACACCTCCATCCACTCACCTGTACTTCAGTACCTGTCTTCTCACCCAGCCACTGCTTGACACCTCCATCCACTCACCTGTACTTCAGTACCTGTCTTCTCACCCAGCCACTGCTGGACACCTCCATCCACTCACCTGTACTTCAGTACCTGTCTTCTCACTCAGCCACTGCTTGACACCTCCATCCACTCACCTGTACTTCAGTACCTGTCTTCTCACCCAGCCACTGCTGGACACCTCCATCCACTCACCTGTACTTCAGTACCTGTCTTCTCACCCAGCCACTGCTGGACACCTCCATCCACTCACCTGTACTTCAGTACCTGTCTTCTCACCCAGCCACTGCTTGACACCTCCATCCACTCACCTGTACTTCAGTACCTGTCTTCTCACCCAGCCACTGCTGGACACCTCCATCCACTCACCTGTACTTCAGTACCTGTCTTCTCACTCAGCCACTGCTTGACACCTCCATCCACTCACCTGTACTTCAGTACATGTCTTCTCACCCAGCCACTGCTTGTCACCTTTATTCACTCACCTGTACTTCAGTACCTCTCTTCTCACCCAGCCACTGCTTGACA